GGGCCAGCGCTGCGAGCAGGCGAGACTCCGAGCACACCTTCAGCATGAAGAGCCGCGTCAAGGTGGAGCGTCTCCACCGATGCGCCATCGGCGTCAGCAGGTAGCCCCCCTCGTTCAGCAAACCCCTCCCCGATCTCCGTCAGCTCGCCCCCCTCGCTGTTCGCGGGGCGTCGCGTTCCGGGCGCCTAAGGGTCTGAGGGCATGGCCCATCTCGCCTCTAGATCCGAGTCCTCCTCCTCCACTGCCGCAACCTCGTCGGCCGCGAGATGAAGAGCGGCCTGCCTCGCGTGGCGGCGGGTCTTGGCCAGGACACTGACCGGCCCGCGCCTCGAGCAAGCTGCAGGAGACGTCGCCCAGTTCCCGGGTTTCTTCAACATCGAGAAAGGTCTCTGGCGAAGCGAATAAAGGCTTGCGGCCCGAGACTACGGAAAGGGCAGGCCTCAGACCGCGACTCGACTGATCCCCTGAGAAGCCCCGTCCGACGCCTTGATCGAGAGAGAGATGAGAAAGAGAAAGAGAAAGAGAAGAGAAATATAGAGAGAGATAGAGAGAGAGAGAGAGAGAGAGAGAGAGAGAGAGAGAGAGAGAGAGAGAGAGAGAGAGAGAGAGAGAGAGAGAGAGAGAGAGAGAGAGAGAGAGAGAGAAGAGAGAGAGAGAGAGGAGAGAGAGAGAGAGAGAGAGAGAGAGAGAGAGAGAGAGAGAGAGAGAGAGAGAGAGAGAGAGAGAGAGAGAGAGAGAGAGGGAGAGAGAGAGAGAGAAAAAAAAAACAAGAGAGAGAGAGAGAGAGAGAGAGGAGAGAGAGAGAGAGAGAGAGAGAGAGAGAGAGAGAGAGAGAGAGAGAGAGAGAGAAGAGAGAAGAGAGAAGAGAGAGAGAGAGAGAGAGAGAGAGAGAGAGAGGAGAGAAGAGAGAGGAGAGAAGAGAGAGAGAGAGAGAGAGAGAGAGAGAGAGAGAGAGAGAGAGAGAGAGAGAGAGAGAGAGAGAGAGAGAGAGAGAGAGAGAGAGAGAGAGAGAGAGAGAGAGAGAGAGAGAGAGAGAGAGAGAGAGAGAGGGATACTGAGGCGCAAGCGACGACAATCCCGGGCGGCGGAGGTCCTGAGCCGGCCCCTCACCGTTCTCCAGGTAGAAGTCGGAGAACCGGGTCCCTGCTTCCAGTCGCTCTCGAAGTTGTGCTCAACCCAGAGATCGCTGGCGCCCCGGAACTTGCAGCAGGCGGCACGGCGCCCGGTCAACAGGTCGAGGGGGACTGGAACATCGCGCAGGTTTCCCTCGTGAACGAGATCTCGTCGAGGCTTGATGTGGTGAAGGCGTGCTCGGCGGACTCTCTCGCTTGTCACCCAGGGCGCGCTCTCCCCCGACACCAGTCTCACGAAACTGGGAAACTTCTCCTGACACCGGCCGGGGTGAGGGGAGGGCATGCGCGCGGAAGAACCAGAAATTCCAGCACCCCGCAACGGCCAAAAGACAGTGAGACAGCTGCCGTCGCCATCGGCCTGACTCTACCTCCGACTCCGTTCGCGCAGGGCAGCTCGCTCTCGCATTTGTCGTGCGCCCGAAAACCTTTCTCCTCGAATGCCTGCTGGACATTCCTCCAGTCTGGCTCCCCGATCAGCGCCTGGGCCGCAGCGGTGTCCACCAACGCATGGCCCCCCATGTCTCGGAGCTGGATGCCCGTGAAGCTCTCCGTGACCTCGGTGACATGCTCCAGGAAGTTGGCCCAAGTCGGGGGGTCTACCTCGCCCAATGAAAAGAGATAGCGCCCGTTGGAGTTGAAAGTCGGTCGGGCATGAGCTGGTGGGCTCGACCCCTTAGCCGATCCTGAAGATGCCCCCATCGGCCTTGAGTCGGTCCGCCATCGGTCGATACGCACGCTTGCAATCCTCTCGCCAATGCCCCTTCTCTCCGCAATTCGTGCAACGTGTTTGCCTTTCTCAGATCGTCTTTGCTGATGCGCCTAGCGTTTTCTCCTGATGATGTTGAGCGCTTGCGATCAAAGAACTCTCGATCTACCTTTCGGGCCGCCTTGAGCTGACGAGACTCATTCCAATATCTCTTCCGTTACTTATCAGCTAGCTCTGCAAAAACTCGGTAACATTCATCCTCATACAAGTCCTGCGCCTCGAGGGTGCTGAGAAAATCTGCAGCCTCATCCTCTGAGAAATCGACTTCGGAAATGTCGGTGCTGCCTTGGTCGTCGTCCTCAGGCGTCTCCGTGACTGCATAGCTCCGCCTCGCGCTCACCGCGCTCTTCTGGGCTTTCGGCAGCAACGCCTTACCGGCGATGTCTAGCTGAAGAAGCATTCGTCCCACTGCCGCCGCTGACATGTCGGATCCCATGAACGTCCGTAAGTTCATATTCATCTGACCTCTCAGCTCAGATCCCTCTTCATAGTACCGCGCTAGCACTGCGTCGGGCAGGTGCAGACCGTAGGCCTCAGCCTGCGCGAGCTGCGCATCTCGACGAACCACGAACTCGGTAAGAGTGTTTCCCCGCTTAATGTGATGATCGAACAGTGCTGCATGCTGGGTTTCTCGCTCCTTGTCTCCAGGCCTCTCTCCGCTGAGAAGTCTGAGGTGAGCTGCCAGGCTGTCGATTCCTTCCTCGGACTCGAGAGAATCTCTGATGCCCTTGAATCTCCCTTGCAACCCAAATGGAAAACCATCGAAAACTGTTGCACCCTGCATCTATGGTTGAAACCACGTTCGACGGGTCCATGGCTTCAGGTTGTCCACGTACGTTTCCAGGTGCTCAAAACCCAGAAATTGAGGAGGGGCTGAATGGTCTCTCGATCGTTCTGTGCGGAGAGGCTTGTCGTAGTTCCATGCCGACCAGCCTCGTAACGGCTGATAACACCAATCCTCCCACCAGCCGTTTCCCCACCAGTCGTCTCGCCATCGATCTTCCGTTTCTCGTTCTTCTGGCGGGGGTTGTTCCTCGTGCAGTTCGTCTTCCACGGCAGTTTCAGAAACTGAGGCTTCGTCTCCGCGGGCCATCGCTCAGCGACGCTCGCCTGCTTCTCCGTCTCGTGAGTCACGCTCTGGCTACAATTGAAACTGGACCCTGGAAGAGAGGCGGGCAATAGTTTATCCTCGCGAGCGCCCTCGGAGAAGCCGAAACTCCTGTCATCGTCCGGTCTCGGACGCAAAACCGAATAGGCGACGGCAGACACAGAGAGGGAGGAGGAGGAGGAGTGGGACACGACATCCGAAGGGAGGAAGCGGGCAGAGGACGAGGAGTGAGCCATCGCGAAGGGACGTTGAGAGAGGTAGAGGGGAGAGGAGGATGGCGTACTCTTGGCCGCGTTCCTTCGAGATCCTGGTGGCGCCTCCAACACGAGGAGACCAAATGCCCATCAACCAGATGACGGGCCGCAACTCTGGTTTGTGGCAGGCCCCGCCCCACTCCCGCTTACCATGAAAGAAAGGGGTCTCTTAGGCACAACATCCACCCTCATAATACTCACCCCGGTACGCGAAGCCGTTTTGTAAACGCACCCAAAGAAGGAATCGAACAGGGCAGGGCTGTTGAGTAAACTCCCAGGGCCGTTTAACACACGCCGATCATCGGGTCCGGGTGTAGTTTCCTCCCTTGACTTGTGGGAACAGGTCCCAGACCCCAGGGATCACCCCCTGACCAGTTGTTCCTCATGACTGCGCTCCAGCCTCCAGCTCAGAGTTGAAAAAATCGGCGAAGAAAACGGTCATTCGGAGCGTTTCCTTGCACAGTAGTCCAGATCCAGATATACGAACATTCTACGGGAAGAACAGCTCCAAGAAAATGCCCAAGGTCGGATACCGATTCATGATTTTCTTCCACGAAATCTGGAGTCCATGAAAATTAACTTTTTGTCTGAAGATTTATGATGCGGGTCGGATGAAGATATGTTGCCTAGCGTGTCGCGGCGGCGGCCCCGGCGACACGCTTTATCTGCGGGCGGATAGCGTACCGCTACAGCTGGGAAAGGGTCGGGACGTTGACCTTTGAGGACCAGGACGTGCTTGACGTTGCGCGCCGAAGCGTGGTGGGCCAGATCAGCCGGCGCGACACGCTTAGCAAACGCTCCTGACTGTAGGTTGTTAGCGGTCCTCATGCTCAGCGAGAGCCATAGGAGCCTGAGAGTTGGGAAGACAACATCGGGGATGGACAGACCCCATTTTAGTAAAACGTGGTTTAGTGAAGACGACCTGGGGCCCAAACCTGGCGGGCGCAAGCCTGGAAAATAACGGCCACGGCGCCCTCTCGAGAACCGAAAACGGACAATTCACTAATCGACATGTCACTGTTGGGGGTTATGTCCACCCCCGACAAAAAGATACCGATGCCACAGTACTCCCAGGACCTCTCCCAGGGTGCGTTCTGACCAGAGTTTCGAAGCGAATCCCGCAGTGCCGACGAGGGCCTCTCAAGAGGCAGATAAAAGGGGGAAGCGGCCGAAAGGTAGCCATATGGGTAACTACTTGTTCCTCCTCTGGGACTCCATTGCCCCTTCTCTCAGGACGATGCTCGACCCCCCAGCAACGCGGAGGTCCCCAGAGGCCTCTGGAGGTCTTGGGCTGGTCTCACTGGAGGCCCCCAGAGGCCGAACCGTGACCTAGAACGCCGCCAAATCTCGATCTCCAGCGCTCGAATCGCATCAGCTCGGCTACGCGCAATAGTGACTCTGTGTGAGAGTAACCTTTGTGCGCGGCTTCTTGGGGGCTGGGGGGGACAAACACGAGCGCGCAAGATGCTACTACCGTGTCGCGTTCGGCGATCGGGAAACCCCAGGTCACTCCGAGGGGTCACCCCTACGTGGCGGGTTCCGGAAACCCTGAACCCCAAAATGTTGCCATCTCTTTTAAGAGGTCGACTCTTACTCCCGCCGGCTTCCGCCGACCTTCCGCCGAGGAAGATGGCAACTCCTTCCCTCCTCCCCCTCCTCCTCGAGGGCAAGGCCCTTTGTGGAAAGCCTCGCGTGCAGTCGGCATCCGCGGGCCTTTCTGGCGCCGCTGGGCCCCAAGCCCCCAGCACGGTGGACACGGCCAGCGCGACGGGCAGCAGAGGCCGGACGTCCATGCCGCACACGAGGTTCTCCGGGTTCGGGGGCCTCTGTGGGGTCCCGGGGCGAGGAGGGAGAGGAGGCAGGGAGCAGAGGTCCTGCTCCTTTTCCTCTTGCCCCTGCTCCTGCTCCTCCTCCTCCTCGTCCTGCTCCTCCTCCTCGTCCTGCTCCACGACCTCCCTTCTGCTCTCCCTGCTCCTCCTCCTCCGTCCTCTTCCGCATATCGGCCAAGTCCGAACAGCATATGACCCAGGACCACTCATGGGGCCCATCCTGGTCACTTCAGGCGACTTTGTTGCTCCCAGGGAGCACAACCTCGAGGTCAAGCTCAAATGAATCAGCTGGCAATGTGCGTCATCGAGATTGCCCCTGATGGCGCGTGAAACCCAGGAAGTGAGACTTCAGTTGAGGCCGAAAAGTAAGGGGGTCACAAAAAAACGCCATTTACGTCTCCCTGCTCTTCCCTTCCTCCTCATCCCCTTCTCAATCCCGTTTCCTTGTAGAGGACTCCTCGTCGTCTGACCGCCTGACGTGTCGGTAGGGCGTGACAGGCGCTTCTCATGAGATTATCTCACCCGTGGTCGCTACGGAGAATGGCGCTTCCAGCAGCTGAACTGACAGCGGGAATGGCATTCAAAATGCAGCGCAAATTTGTCTTGCTGACCCCAGCAGCTGCACAAATGGATGGGGGTCGTTTTGAACAGGTGGGTCTGGAATTTGCGCATCGCACATCAGTCTTAGAAGTCACCAGCAGCTGCACGGAATGATGGGAGTAGTTTTGAACATGTGGTACAGGTTTTTAACGCCACGCGCCTTCGTCTGAAAAGCTTCCGACAAGTACCCTGATAGGGGGGGTCGTTTTCAAAATGTGGCGTTCGTCTCTGGGCCGCTCACAATTGTCGTAACAGTTCCTAATGGTTTCACGGATGGAGGGCTGTTCATGTTCAAGCTGCGCCTTATCATCGCATGTTCATATACTAAGAAATCCTTAGTTTGTTTTAATGAGCCGGTTACTGAAAGTATTCACCACCTACACGGATGGAGGGTTGCTCATTTTCAACTCGGGGTTATCGCTTGAGAGTGTCCGAGTTTTTACTGCCAAGCGGACACCATTGCACAGCATTTGCCATGGATTGAGGCTGGCTCTGTTTCAAGGCGGAAACTCGCTAGACAGCTCCTAGGATTTTACGGTCCTCCTCCGCGAACCTCCCTGCTTCCCCTCCTCCCCTCCTCCTCCTCAAAGCTTCTGCCACTTCTCTCCCCCTCGTCCTCCTCCTGCTCGAACCTCCCCTCACCCCCACGCCACGCTCCGAGGCAACCAGCAGGCCTGTTCTCCGCACCGCAGTGGTCCGCGTCTAGGCACTCGTCGTCGCACTGGTCGTCGGCGTCCAGTCTCTGCGTGGGCGGTGCCGCATATCGCTCCTCTCGCCGCCGCCGCTGTCACGGCGACACGCAGGGGCCGCCGCAGGTCGCCGTCGTCGTCACGGTCGTCGTGGGTCGTGGTCGTGGGCGTCGCGGTGTTGGGCGTCATGGTCGTCGTCGCGGTCGCGGGAGCGAGGCGCCGCGAGGACGAGGAGGACGCGGAGGTGGCCTTTCCCCCCTCCTCCCCCTCCTCCTCCCCTTCCTCCTCCACATGCCCCTCCCCTCTCCCCCTCCGCAACCTGCCCCCCCCCCCCCCCCTCCTCCTCCCTCTCCTCCTCCTCCTCCTCCTCCTCCTCGTCCTCCTCATGCCGTTCCTCCTCCTCCCGTATCCCCTCCCCCTCTACTACTCACTTGTCTTCACTGGAACTTTCTCCTGCAAAACCCCCTGGGACTCCAACACATCCGCTGGGCCCCTTGAACACCCTCCTCCAGCTCCATCCTCCCGCTTCCTCCTCCATCCCCCCCTCCCTCCCACTAGTCCTGAACACCTACTGGGAGCCCTAAGCGACCGAGCGAATGCATGACGCTGGCGCTGCCGGACTTCTCAAGACAGTGGCGCCAAGTGCACGATACATAGATCAGGGCACTGGAACGGCGCGCTCGTCATATGCATAGACAACTATACACAGATTCACCTGTGTGGCTGTGGACGCTGGGGCGCACTGTCGACTTGGAGGGCGATGGCTCGGAGCTGATGCCTCCCGAGAGCGCAAGCCAGCTGCGCCTCACTGGTTGCACCTGGTCGCACACCTGGGCGACGACAGAAAAAAGGGTCGCACGCGAGATGGCACAGCGACCTTACGCCGCGGCTTACGCGGGCCGCTAGAGCGGCACGCTATTGGAGGCGAGAGACCTTGCGCGCGATTGGGTTGAAATGATGGTCGGCGACCGCCGCCGCGGGCAGATTTTTTTGCGCCAGAGGGTGATAGCGACAAATATAAGACGTGGCCGATTACAGGTCGTCTGCGCATGCACGTAATTAGAGGCCTCCTAGATGGGGTCCGAGTAGGCGGGGTTGGAGGATCTCGCCGCATCGCCGATGCATCGGCAATGCATCGGCGACGACGGCATGGAGAATATTGGGCTTCACATCGAGCCGCATCGCCGATGCATCGCCGATGCGGCGCTATCCTCCGACCCCACCTGCTCCGACCCCAGTGTCCAAAGAGTATCGTCTCCCAGGCCCCGACACGTGACCTCCCTCCGATATTGCTACTCTCCCGGTGCTCGAAAGTATTGGTGAGCAAGGCCAAAGCAGGTAGGAACGTCATAAACTCATCCCCCCATGATTTGAGCAGGGACCGAACGTCCCGGCATTCCTACAGGCCTACCACGACATGTTCTTAGAACCCAGACATGTTCTAAGGACACAGACAATGTTCTCAGAACATAAAGCCGATGTGCTAAACAAGACAGTCCCAGCCAGAAAAGTTCAGAGAACATCTCGAACATTGTTTGGTATGCCTACGGGCACGCCAGGACGCCTCGCCATTGCTTAAATGCTGGTTGAGCCGTCGTGATGGCGCTCCTCCGCCGTCGGCGCACCGAGCGCAGAATCTGAGAACGAGGAGGAGGGAGAGGAGGAGGAGAAGGGGGAGGAGGAGGAGGAGAAGGGGGAGGAGGAGGAGGAAGAGGAGGAGGAAGAGGAGGGGGGGGGAGGAGGGAAAGGGCAGGGTCATAAGTGGTTAGGAACCGTTCCCCGTGCGCGGCGCGACGACTATTGCTGGTTGAGCCCTCGTGCTCGACGGCGCTCGCCAGGCGGCCGATCCTCTCGGCGCTCCGCGCGGCGGCCGTGGCAGGCCTGGCGGCGGGCGCGCCTCCCGTGGAGCAGGGGCCGACCGCCCCGCGGAATAATCCGCAGGCGGATGTTGGACGAGGAGTACAAGAGAATCAGAACATACTCCACGAATAATCCAAACATCGTCAAACATGTATCCCAAATCATGGTTTAAACATATGTTTGGAAATTCCTCCTGGAGAGGGACACGCCCGACTTAACCTTGGCAGCCCAAGGATGCGCTCAGCACAAAGGCAATGCACTGAGACCCTGAGCACGCTGTGTTGAGAAAACAGGACGGTCTCAGCCCGACATGTTCTCGGAGAACATGCCGCGCAGACCACAGAAAGGCTCCTAGAGCATTCGTTGGTGGGCCGATAGGCCAGCCAAGACCTGAGCATGTTCTTAGGGTGGAGGGCTCAGATTTAAATCCATATGGGCTCTCGCACCTCGAACTCCAATCCGTCTCGTGATTCACCTTTTGCAGATTCAAACTTCGAAAATACATCGAAACGGCATTTCAGATGTCACCCTTTGCTCTGCACCCGAAGAAAATGCTCGGAGGACGCCTCGCCACTGCTTCAGCATCTTGAGCGCAGATCTCCGACGTCTCGGGCCTCGCGGCCCGGCTCCCTGTCATACGATAGCCTCTGAGCTGGCAGCGGCCGCCGCCCACGAGGCGCTCGGCTACGAGATCGACCAGACCAGGCCGCCGCCAGCGAGGCGAAGACCAACGGGCGCTCAGGGTGGAGTGGCTGGGACGCACAGAGACATACGAATACTAGATGTCCTCCTTGGAGGCGCCCCCCCGACCCGAACATGAGTACACCCATCTCATAGTATACGTATCGTTTCCATCGCGGTTTGGCCAGAAAGCACCCGCCACGGCGCATATACTGCAAGGTCTTCTCAGTGCGCGCATCGCCCCTGGGGGGGAGGGGCGACGCACACACGGCATTAAGATGTTGGGGCGGCTCCGATTGCCCGCTCGCCACACACCCGCACACTGGAGGCCGAGCTCCCGGAGCAGGACGGCCGGGACCTCACCCTCGGCGGCCCCGCCGGCGCCCGCCGCCACCGCGGACCTTCTTACCCGGGCCAGTCCAGACCCGTTTCAATCAGCAGAGGCCTCCTAGCTGGGGTCGGAGTAGGTGTGGTCGGAGGATCGCGCCGCATCGCCGACGTCGGAGGTGCATCGGCGACGTCGGCGTGGAGAAGTCGAGCTCCACATCGAGCCACGTCGACGATGCATCGGCGTTGCGGCGCGATCCTCCGACCCCATCTACTCCGACCCCATCTAGGAGGCCTAGAACTAATCAGGCTCTGCAGGATCCAGCGAGATCCTGGAGGGTCCTGCAGGATCCTGCACCCCAGCCTGGGTGAATGCACCCCTGGCCCTGCACGATCGTGCAAGATCCGGCGCCCTGGCTGACCCCCGTCTGGATGAACCCCCGTCCCTTGAGGACCCCCCCTCACCCGCTCGGCGCCCTCGCAAGGCGCCCGCCGCGACCTGGATGCAGACGCAGCCTCCCGCACCGGGGAGACCGCGGCGCGGCGTGCCAGGGGCGCAGGGGCCCCACAGGGCCCTGCTGCGCCGGGAGCGCCCCACCGAATCCCGCGCCGGCCCGGACGAGGCGCACGGCAGAGGCCCTCTGTGCGAGGCGGAACCTTTTTTTCCCAGGAACATCGCCTGCCGAGGACCCCGAGGATCGATCCCCCGGGCGGCGGCTCTGGATCAGGAAGCGCCTGGCTCGGGGCGCCCGGGGCGCCGCCGCCGCTGACATGCCCGGGCGGGCGCCCGAGGCAGCTCCGAGGAGCACGGGCGCCAGGGCCCGAGGCCCCCGAGGCCCAGTGGAGCGGCCCCCGACCCGGGGCGCGCCCCTCGCAGCCGGGGGGGCGGACACCGCGACTAGGCAAGCGCATTCTACGACTCGCAGGGCGGGTCCGCCGCGGGGGGGAGGGGTGAACATCACATCAAGGCAAACCTATGTTTTCGCTTCGGGCGTTTGCGAGTAGGCACTCTGCGGTCGCTCGCCATCGGCACCACGAGCAGGCCATCACATGGCACACGTCGGGGCCACCTGGGCAGGGCTGCCTTCCGAACGGGTGGCTCGGGCGTGCCTTCGGCAGCGGATCCACGGGGGCCCAGGCGGGGCATCCGTCGGCCCATACACCGGGTCCACGACGGCAGTGGCAACGACCACGAGGTCCGCAGGCGGTGGCCCGCCTGCTTCGGCAAGCTCTGCTGCCTCGAGACTCGCCGAACCCCCTGGGGCCATGTTGGAGGTGCGCGCCGCGGGGCGCAACAGCACCGGCTCGGCGGCCCCGGTCGCCCCGCTGCCGTCCCCGCCGCGTGAGCGGTTTTGCTCCTTCCCCTCCTCCCGCGGCCGCTCCCCTCTGCCCCTCCCCTCTCTGCATCCGGGCAGGTCGCAGTGCCGTCACCCAGCTCGCCCGAACGCGCGCTGCGACGTCAAAAGATCGGAGCGACCAGTGGCTCTATCGTCTGGAGCACCGTCGCGGCGCTGCTGCGCCGCCGCAGCCCAGCGTCTGCGTCTGTACAAATGGAGTAGGAGATCGACTACATAATTGATTTACCCCTCGAATCTACGACAAGTGCGTAGAACTGCCGCAGATTATTCGTATATCCGACAAGAGATTCTATTATGAGGTAAAACAATGCTGAAATCGACCTCCTAATCGAATAGGGCCCTCCTCGGGGCTAGAGGCCTCGTAGACGGGGTCCGAGTTCATGGGGTCGGAGGATCGCACCGCATCGCCGATGCATCGGCGATGTGGGCGATGCATCGGCGACGTCGGCGTGGAGAAAATCGGGCTCCGCATCGCGCCGCATCGCCGATGTATCGGCGATGCGGCGCGATCCTCCGACCCCGTCTCCTCCGAACCCATCTGGGAGACCTCTACCATCGGGCTCCCGATTTGAGTAGGACGACTACAGACTTGTCGAACCCCAGAATTGAATATCTCGTCGAATCTAAGACTAGTCTACTACAGTTCCACGCGTTTGTCGTCCAGAACTCCCGTCCAGAGCTCCCGCTGGCGCTGGGCTGCAGCTCGGGGCCGAGGAGGCCCGTCGTGATGTCCCACAGCGTGCCCGCCCTGCGGCCACCACAGCGAACGGCTCGTGCGGAAGCCGACGGGTCGGAGCCGCCACGCCGCGCGCTTCCATTCGTGGCGGAGCGCGGCCGCCTCGCGCGGCCCACTTAGCCTTCGGCGGGCCGACGCCTTCATTATCTCTCTCTCTCTCTCTCGTTTGCTCTCTCTCTCTCTTTTTCTCTTTATCGTTTTCTTTCTCTTGATAAGTAGATGTTTAGTTATATTTGTCGTTTTGGCTTGTTCTCTCTCTCTCTCTCTTTCTCTATCTTGCGCTCTTTTTCTACATTTAATTAAATACAAGTATTAGATCCGCATCTCTCTCTCTATCCGTCTCTCCTTATCTCTCCCTCTCTCCTCCGGTCTCTCTCTCTCTCCCTCTCTACCTTTGTCTCTCTCTCTCTCTCTTTCTCTCTCTCTTTCTCTCTCCTTTTCTCCTTGTGTCTCTCTGTGTCTCTCTCCCTCTCTCTCTATGTCTCTCTCTCTATATATATATGTATATATCGAACCTCTCGGCCTTTCTCTTCCGCAAGCGCTGCCGTTGTGACGCCCACGCGACCTGGCGGAGAGACGCTCTCCCACCCGATCGCAGAAGAGCAGCTGACCAAGTGGAGCAGCTGGGAAACCCTTGCACGGACCCCTCGCGACGGGGGCTATCTTCCTGGACGTTACAGCCCTGCCGGACAGGAGCGTCACAGCATGGGATGACGCCGCTCGTGGATCTAGGCCGTTTCGTCGTCTTAGACGGCTCGGGAGGGGTCCGCGCCCTTCCCAAGATCCGCGCAGTGGGGCCGTCGCAGCCTTGGACACTGGAGGCAATCTCATGACGGCAACCTGGGCAGAGGTGTCGCTGTTTGAGGGCTCTGGGCAAGTCCGCGGGGATGGCGCGGACTGCGCCGAGGAGGTGGAGCTCGGCAAGTTCGTGAGCGGCGGCTTCCAAGCTTCAAGCTGGCTGCATCGATGGGGCCAGCTGCGCCATCGAGCCAACGCGTTCTGCACGGCCCATGTCGGTCAGAGGACCCCCCCTGTGGGCAGGCCTGGCCAACAAAAAACAGCTGCATCAGCAGCATCGAACGCAAAGCTCACCTCGGCCAGAACGCGGCAACCGATGGCAAGCGGGCGCAGGTGGAGCTCGACGGAGACGGGAAGGCAGACGAGCGGGCTAGGAAAGCTCGCTTGGCCCATGTTGACGGTGCTGACGCTGAGCCCGAAGACGTGAATCAAGCTCGCCAGCCACCACGCTGGCGCCATGAGAGTCTTGCGTGACAGTTTCAGGGACGATGGGTCCCATCAGCGCGGAGGCCCTGCGCAACATCCACTTGCCGGGAAAGCTCACGCCCGAGCGCGAGTGCCTCTGTGATCGCCCACGGGTGGACCAAAACGACAGCGACAACCTTTCGTTTGCAACGCGACTCTGGGGGAGGCAGGAGGGACGCAGAGATCAGACAATCTGGGCGGAGTCCCGTCCACGGGCTGGCGGGCAAGCGCGCCGCACCTGGAGCACTTTGGCCGGCGCTGTCGGCCAAAGGGGCCCTGCACACCCGTCTTGGGCGGTCGGCCTGGGGGGGAGGGAGAGGGAGGGGCGAGGAGGCCCCCCCGCGAGCAAGCGGGAAGCAGAGAGGAACGCAAGCGCGAAGCGCCCCCCGCTGTGGCTCGTCAGCCTCCAGGGCGACGCTGCCACGACGCTGAGCGGCCGCGGGCTCGAACTGCGCCGGGCGAACGGCGCCGAAGGGCCGAGCACAGGACGGACCAGGAGGAGGAGGGGAGAAGGAGGAGGAGGAGGAGGAGGAAGAGGAGGAGGTGGTAAGGGAAGGAGGAGGAGGCGGAGGAGGAGGAGGAGGCGGAGGAGGAGGGGACAGAAAGGATGACGAGCAGGGATGGAGGGAGGAGCAGGAGCCACACAACGGGTGAGACATCGGCTGATTAGTAGCACACGTGCGTCGGTCTTGGACGGATCAGGCACTGGCCCCGCAGCTCCGCCGCCATATGGAAATCCACAGCCTGGTCCTGTAGGCCCACGCGGCCCTGATCTTCGACGCGCATAATCCTTTCCACTGCCCTTCCTCCTTCCACCTTCACCCCCTCATCATCTTCATATCTCATTATCAGTCTCCCTGCCCCATCTTTCCATCCATCCTCCGCCTCACCCTATCCATCCATCCCTCCCCATCCCTGCCTCACCACCTCCCTCCCCACCTCCCTTTCCCTGCGTACCCCCATCCCTTCCTCTCTCCCGCTCCTCCCTTCTTCCACCCCTCGGACACCATCGAGCGCGGCCAGCTCGCCGCCTAAATTGGTAGGAAGTGGGCTGGTGCCTGCCCACCGCCAGCGTGAGAGCCTCCAGCTGCGCCTCCTCTGCCCCTCTCTTCTCCTTCATCCCTCCCTCCCTCCCTTTCCGCCCCCCTCCTCCTCCGCACGCCCCTCCCTCGCACGAGCTTTGTGCGGTCGCAAGCCGCCGCGGGCCGCGCCCCCCGCCCCCTCGCCAGGCTGCACAGGCCGAGAGGCCTAGACAGGTATCGCCTGCGGCTCAAACGTCGCCGCCTGCAAGCTGTCCTCCTCTTGACTCCCTCCGTACATTCCACACAGTGAACACAGTAAGGCCACACTATAATATTCAACGCAGCTCAGCTCTAACGCCGAGAGGAAGTAGCACCGAACTGGCCACAGAGCTCGATCGATCGATCCCCGTCGACATTTTTCCTTCCTCCACTTCCCCCCCCTCTCCCGGCGACGCCGACGCCGAAGCCGACGCACACGCCGTCGACGCCAACGATGCCGAGGCAAACGCCGAAGCCGACGACGCCGAAGCCGACGACACCGACGCCGACGCCGACACCGACGCCGACGCCGACGCCGACGCCGACGCCGCCGCCGCCGCCGCCGCCGACGCCGACGACGACGCCGACGCCGACGCCGACGCCGACGCCGCCGACGCCGACGCCGACGCCGACCGCGACGCCGACGCCGACGCCGACGCCGACGCCGACGCGCGACGCCGACGCCGACGCCGCGACGACGCCGACGCCGACGCCGACGCCGACGCCGACGCCGACGCCGACGCCGACGCCGACGCCGACGACGACGACGACGACGACGACGACGACGACGACGACGACGACGACGACGACGACGACGACGACGACGACGACGACGACGACGACGGAGGGCGGCCGTCCTGTTCCAGGCGCGGCGCCCTCGACTCCCAGCCCCCCGAGGCGGGGCCGGGGGCCCGGACCTCCCGGCCCCCGTGTCGGAAGTCGTCCCGGTACCTCGGCCTCGGCGAGGCCGCGAGAGGAGGAGGAGGAGGAGGAGGAGGAGGAGGAGGAGGAGGAGGAGGAGGAGGAGGAGGAGAAGGGGACAGGAGGAGGAGGAGGAGGAGGAGGCGGAGGAGGAGGAGGAGGAGGAGGGGAAGGATCGCACCCCACTGAAGGGAAACGGGGGGGAAGAGAGAAGTCCTACAGTCCTACCACTCTTCCTCCCAGGGGGGCCCATCCAAGTGGACCCTTGTCGACCACAGGCAGGACGGCCAAAAACCTGCCCATTGCCCGCGACAGGGCCCCCTCTGGAGGATCCATCAGCCGTCTTAGTCAGTAATTACCTAGGCCCTGGTCTTCGGAGCGCTTGATCCATCCTCCAATGGCGCTCGCGTTTCGAGCTCGCTTAGTCCGAAAGCTTGGAGAACGTCAGCAAGGCAACCAAAAACAACCAGGCCCCTATCTGGCCCGTGTCTGGCCTCTCGCTTCTGGGCCCCTGGGACCCTTCCCAAGCCACCCACCAACTCCCGAGCCGCCACCCTGGGAGTCCTCCGTGGACCCAGTTTGACAGGTCCGTTATTGCGCTTGCCCACAAAAACAGCCTTCGTACTCTTCATGCCAAGGTTCACCAAAGCCCGCTGGGAGCCGCCGCAGGCAACTCGGAGCCCGATTGAGCCTTGCGAACTTGCAGCATAGCCTCCGCAAACGGAACAAACCAAAATCGGTGGTTGGCCTTCGGCCACCGCATCGAACTCCAGCAGACGATGCCCCCTGGAAGCCCCGGGTGTTTAGTCAGAGTCTATGGCCATCGAGACCTGCTCTGGACCCCGCTGCTCGCTCGGGCTGCCAGCCGATGGGGAGGAGTCCGGTGGAAGGGGAAACAGTAGCAGCCGCAGCCTGCACACCCCCCAACAGCTCCACCAGAGCCTCCTTCTTCGCGGCGCCGCCCTCTGACGAGATCATGGCGAGACCCTGGGCTCCCAGGATAAACAAAACTTGTAAATCTTCGCGATGGGATTCGGCCCTGCCGCTGAATCGGAACAGGGCCCCTGCCGAGGAAAGCGCGCATGGACATCAGAGCGGCCGACGGGGCTCTCCTCGCCAGCGTCGCTTCTTGTTTCGTCACCCGATTGGCAACATTGTTACCTCCATGCGCAAAAAAAAAAACGTGATGCGTCTTTCGCGCACATCTTCCATGCTAGTGCGTGGCCCAACCTTCTTGAAGACAATGCCAGGCGGTCCTCCCCCTGCGAATGTTAGGTGGCCCCTTGGCAACATTCGGGCTCCGGACAAACTGCCGCGAGACTTTGCAGCGAGAGTAGAGCGAATAAGTGAACGCCAGGTGACTCAAAGCCACCGGGAACGCGAAATCTTCGCCACCCCGTGCCAGCTCAATTGTGCACGCGGCGAGCCCCCACGCAGGGTCGATCAACGCCGCGGGCAGGGCGTCTCGCCTCCAACCCTGGCACGTTGGGCATTGCAAAAGACGGTGGGCGAGGGCCCCTGGCACATCCCCGCAGACGAGACAGCGACTCGGCAGCTTTGAATCCTGCCCGCGCAGGCGGAACTGGGCCCAGAGCGCGTCTATGGCCAGGCCGCGCCAAACACGTTGCTCCCTCCCCCCCCCTTCACGCCCCGACAGTCACCGCCCCCTCTGCCTGCGGGTCATGCCTAGCAAGTAGCAGCTCCTCGAGCGGCCTCCAACTGGTTCTCCCTCGCCAGGCCGCGACCTTGCCCAATTTTTGCCAGGCCAGGCCTGTCCGCGACGCTGCTGGCTGCGGAGGTGGCCATGCGGGCTGCGAAAGAAAGCGATATCGAACGACGGTCCAGTTGCTCTCCGGTCGGTTCCAACAACGCACACTGGCCAACAAAAAACTGATAAGTTGCACTCGGCAGTCCTTGATTCGGCCAAGGTGCTTCGGAGAAGTGATGATGTGAACTTTACCTAGCGCAGCTTCCGCTGCCTGAAAACAAGATGCCATCGCGGCGTGGGGCTGAAGGCCGTCCAAAGACGGGCCTGACCATTGTTTTGCCCGACGCACGCTGCCCCGCTCGTCGTGGCGCAGGGGGGGATTGGCGGCCGGTAGAGGTCCCTGCCAAATATTGGCGTGTCCCGCCCCCTGCTTGAGCTCGAGCACCCTCGCAGCGCGCGGGCCCGCAGGCGCGCCCAGCTGAGCCCGACGGTCCGAGACAGGGTGGTCGAAACACCAGCTGGCCACAGACAGATCATGGCAGAGTTGGTTGGATTGCACCTGGCTTCCTGCGGCCGCAACAATGATGCCTCCGCGTGCTCTGCCCACTGGGGCGCTCCGAGATCTTCCTCGCCGAAGTTCCAGCCGCCTCCGAATAAATCGCGGCACCCTGCTGAGGCCGTCAGTTCACTGATGCGCTCGAGCAAGGAAAAGTCGGCCCCGGGCCTCGCCCGGGCGGCGCGGCCACCATCCGAGACAACAAGAAACGGCAACTCGCGACGGGCCCTGGCCTCGACAGCCGCAACCCATTCTAACATATATCCTCGCGGATGTGCCCAAGTTCTCGCCGCTTTGATCTGGGCCTCCACCGGCCTGCGTTCACGTTTGAGGCAAGCATCCAACTGCGCCCCTTGACCCCACGGGCCAAATCTGGATGCTTCTTGGCCTCCTTCCAAGCATTCGCATTGTAGCTGACCACCGTGGTGCCGTAATCATGTTTGTAGCCCTCCGACGCCTGAGTCAGACCTGCCACTGGCCCGCCGCAGACAGCGCTCGTCTACGCCCCCAGCTTCCGGGACTGCCCTGCCGCGGGCACCCCAGGGCGCCATTTCGTCCCGCAGCCTGGGAGGGGGCGCTCACCGCAGTGGCTTCGGCCGCCCGCGCGTCCGCGGGACTATGGCGAGGCTGAGCTCGATCGAGGGCATCGCACACCTGCGCGCCTGCGGCTTCGCCCCAGAGCTCGCTTCCCCTCCTTTCATAATGTCTGCCCTGCCGCGGGCCCCCCAAGAACGTCTCCGCGCCCCGATGCGCCACGGGAGTCCGCCGACCCCTTGTGGGTCTGCAGGCGCGTGAGATTGCCTTCCCATAATCGCACAGGGACCCCAAACTTGGATTTTGACCCCCCCCCCGGCCCCGGGTGGCCCTGGGCCGAAGTCACCCATGGCGGTCTGGGCTGCCTGGGCTCGCTCTTGAACTGCACGACGGCACTCGACGCCTCCCAAGAAGCCGCCAAGACGATCCACGAGAACCCCTAGTCGCCGCAAGATCGCCCCAAATTGCCCAAGAGCTCAAAACGGTCCTAGGGGCCGACACGACACCCCACGAGGCGCCCCAGAGGCCCCCCAAGAAGCCCCCCCCAAAAACAAAATATTGAAATTCCCCAGGGGGAACGCGCATGTTCAGCTTTTTCAACTCTGTAGCCTTCACTGCGTTGAAAACCGCCCACGAGGCCCCCGCGAAGCCCCCAGGGCCACCCCAGGACGGCCCACGCGGCCCCCAGGAGGCCCCAAAGACAACCCACCAAAACTCCAACGCGGCCCAAGAGGCGCCCTAGACGGCACCAAAAAAACCCAAGACGGCCCCCAAAAAGGCCCGAGAGAGGGACCACGAACCGCGAATTCCAGCGCACTGCCCGACGAAGCTCCCCGGAAGACCCAAGAGGCCCCCAAGCGGCCCCATGAGGCCCCCGCGAAGCACCCGAGAGGCCCCGAGGAGCCCCCAATCAGCCCACAGGAAGCCCCAAAACGGCCCCCAAGACCCTTCGAAGCCGCCCCGAAGAAGCCCGCGAGAATCCTCGCCACGAGATCCCAGCTGACATCCCAGAGCGTGCCACAAACTGCCATGAACTTGACGCATTCCTGCTATTTGTCCTCGCCCCGGCTTCGGAATTCTGCCCGAGAGGTGGCAGACGACGGACCCTGGGCCCCCCTTGGAGCCCGACCGCATTGGATTTTCGACCTCCGCGGCCCCGAGCATTCGCGCGCTGCCCCGAGCGCTTCCACGGGCCCCACGCGCGCGCCCTGCACTTCAACGCGCGTCTTTCGATGGCGCGCGCGAAATGCGACCCACGCGTGAACTCCGACTTCCGGAGCTTTCGTTGGCAGGCGCCGAAGCGTTGGAACGCTTGCCAACTGCGCGCCGTGAACCCGTTGGCAATGCAACCCGCGCGTGAAATGTTAGTTTGCCTCGCGAAGTGTATGCTCTCTTATTCGTCGCACATGCGCTCCTGCCGAGCGAACTCCTTCTCGCGCGCTGCGCGCGTCAGCAGTCGCTTCAACCGCTTCGCAGCATCGGCCGCCCCCGTCGTGGTGACGGCCCGCTTGTCACATTCTCTACAGACCACTCTTGTGCTGCTGTTTCTTCGGCGTTCCTCCGCCTGCTCGGGCTTCGAATGAGTCGCGTCCCAGAACGCCTCCCCGCGCTCTGTCGCGCAGCAGACCCACGGTTTCGCTTCTGCCTCGGACTTCCGCTTGCGATTGTTTGACTCGCGCGCGGCTCTCGCGCGTTCTTCCGCGCATCTTCGACAGAGCTGCGCCCCAGCTGCGCGGCGCTTCTTCTGCACCGCTGGCGTCGCGGCACGTTCCGCCCCCGCTGCGTCCAATCCACGCCCTCCCCTCGGAGCGCCTGCAACAGCCTTTTCGCGGCTGCCATCTCACCCTCGTTGTGGGGTCGCCTATCAAAAAGCCGGGGAATCAACGTATTCTCTCGTCTGCGCACGCGCGCGATGTCAACGCGAACGACGTCGAGCGCCGCGTCGCGATTCAGACAAGCCTCGTGGAATGCATTGCTGGAGGCGCAGTAGTTTATAGAGAGGTCGGCGGACGTGGCGCACCCCTATAGCATCGCATTTTCCTGGGGCGTCGACCACCCGCGCATCTGCGGCCCAAGAAAGCGGCTGGCCCTGAGCGAGGGCAACGACCGCCCGCATGCCTGCGGCCTCGCTCAGCGGACCGCCACTCCCTTTCGGGGTCTGCCCTCTGGCGGGCTGCCCCAGGGCCTCTGGAGGCCCCGGCGCGCACGGGAAGCCGCTCCTCTCTGGGGCGCCGACCA